TGTACACTGTAAACTACAAAACATTGCTTAAAATTTAAAGGCTTAAATGGAATGATATCTTGTATTCATGAACTGGGAGGTTTAATACTATGAAGAAGAAAATATTATCCAAAGAGATTTATAAAGTCAATGCGTTCCCTATCAAAATTCAAATAGCCTGATTGTAGAAATAGAAAAGTCAATCCTCAAATTCATATGGAATTGTAAGGGCCCTGAATAGCCAAAATAATCTTGAAAAAGAAGATCTAAGTTGGAATACTCAAACTTCCTAATTTCAAAAGTTACTACAAAACTCCAGGAATCAAACTGGTATGGTATTGACATAAGAATAGGCATATAGATCAGTGGAATAGCATTCCCAGAAGTAGACACACACACACACACACACACACACACACACACACACACACACAAACACGCACACACACACACAAATGCACACACACATACACACACACATACTTCATTTTTGACAAGGGTTTCAAGGTTATTGAATGGGGAGAGAGAACAGTCTTTTCAATAAGTTGTTTTGGGAAACTGAATAGTCACATGGCAAAGAATGAGGCTTGACCCTTGTATACCAGATATAAAAATTAACTAAAAATGAATCAAAGACCTAAATTTAAGATCTAAAATCATAGAACTCTTGGAAAAAGATGTAGGAGGAATAGCTTCATGATACTGGGTGGGTAAGAAGGTTTCCTAGGTATAATATTTTTTCAAGAGAAAAATAAATATAATGGTTTCACCAAAATTAAAATGTATGCATAAAGTAACACTACCAGGAAAGTGAAAAATAAAACCCAAAGAATGAGTGTCATATGTGTAAATTAGTTACTTACAGCTGGCAAGTAACTAATATCCAGAACATACAAAGAACTCCTACAATTCAACAACATGAAACAAACAACTCAATCCACAAATGGGCAAAGAACATGAACACACATTTGTGTAAAGCTATTCAGTCAATAAGTACATGAAAATACTCAGCATTACTAGTTATTAGGGAAGAGCAAATCAGAACTACAGTGAGATATCATTTTGTACTCACTAGGATGGTTTTTATAAAAAAAAACCAAACAACAAAAAATACCAAATATTACTGAGGATGTAAGGAAATTGGAACCCTTGGGCATTGCAGGTGGGAATGGAAAATTATGCAACTACTGTAGAAATTTTGATTACTCCTTAAAAAGTTAAATAGAGGCTGATGTTGGTGGCTCATGCCTATAATCCAGCCATTCAGGAAGCAGAGGTCAGGAGGATTGTAGTTTGAGGCAAGCCTGGGAAAAAAATTAGCAAGACCCCATCTTGACCAACAAGTTGGGTGTCATGCTGTGTGCCTGCCATCCCAGCTACATGGAAGATATAAACTAAACAAGAGAATGGAGGTCTGAGACTGGCTCCAGACAAAAACACAAGACCCTACCTGTTAAACCAGTAAAGCAAAAAAGGAATATGGGCATGGCTCAAGTGGTAGAGTGCCTGCCAAGCAAAGTGTGAGGCTCTGAGTTCCATCCCCCCCCAAATATTCCACCACTTTCCAAAAGCATCCTCCACTCTGGGAAACAAGCTTTTAAGACATAGGCCTTTGGAGGACATTCCAGATCCAAATTATAGCAATTACCACATACCCAGTAGCTCTGCTGATTGTTATACCCAAAAAGAATTAAATGCACAGCTTCAAACAGATGTTTGCACACCATGTCTATAACAGTATTATTCATAATAGTCAAAAGGTGGAAACAAACCAAGCGCCCATCATGAATAAACAAAATATATATGGAGCCAATTGATTGCTATAGACAAGTTAATATCTCCCTCTTTTCACATAGTTACCACATGTGTGGCAAGAATACTTAATATGTAGTCTTATAGCAAATTTTAAGGTTACACCATAGTATTATTAGCTATAGTTCCCATTCTGCACATTAGATCCACAGAACTTACTCATCATTTCTCCCAACCCACTTTACCCCAAAACTGGTAACCAACACTGTTGTCTGCTTCTTTGAGTTCTTAGATTATAGATATAAGATCATGGAATACACTTGACCTTTGAACAACTAGGATTGAGTTATCTTGTTCCAGTTACATCAGGAAAAAAATTTTTTCTTTGAGATTTGTAGCAATCTGAAAAAGCAAAGCCTAAAAATATTTTTTGTTTTATTATTCATATGTGCATACAAGGCTAGGGTCATTTCTCCCCCCTGCCCCCACCCCCTCCCTTACCACCCACGCCACTCCCTCCCTCTCCCCCGACCTCCTCAATACTCAGCAGAAACTATTTTGCCCTTATTTCTAATTTTGTTGAAGAGAGAGTATAAGCCATAATAGGAAGGAACAAGGGTTTTTGCTGGTTGAGATAGGGATAGCTATACAGGGCATTGACTCACATTGATTTCCTGTGTGTGTGTGTTACCTTCTAGGTTAATTCTTTTTGATCTCACCTTTTCTCTAGTTCCTGGTCCCCTTTTCCTATTGGCCTCAGTTGCTTTAAGGTATCTGCTTTAGTTTCTCTGCATTAAGGGCAACAAACGCTAGCTAATTTTTTAGGTGTCTTACCTATCCTCACCCCTCCCTTGTGTGCTAAAGCTTTTATCATGTGCTCAAAGTCCAATCCCATTGCTGTTTCTGTGGAGAAGTCTGCTGTGATTTTGATGGGTTTACCTTTGTATGTTATTTGTTTTTTCCCTCTTACAGCCTTCAATATTCTTTCCCTAGTTTCTGAACTTGTTGTTTTAATGATGATATGTCATGGGTAGTTCTATTTTGATCTGGTCTGTTTAGTGTCCTGGAGGCCTCTTGCATCTGTATGGGAATATCTTTCTCTAGATTTGGGAAATTTTCTGTTATTATTTTGTTGAATGTATTACGCATTCCCTTCGCTTACACCTCTTCTCCTTCTTTGATGCCCATGATTCTCAAGTTTGGTCTTTTGATGGAGTTGGTGAGTTCTTGCATTTTCTTTTCACAGGTCTTCAGTTTTTTAATTAATAGTTCTTTGGTTTTTCCTTTAATTACCATTTCATCTTCAAGTTCTGAGATTCTGTCTTCTGTTTGTTCTATTCTGCTGATTGGCCTTCCGTTTTGTTTTGCAATTCTGTTTCATTCTTTTTTTCTGAGGTTTTCCATATCCTGGGTGGTTTCCTCTTTAATGTTGTCTGTTTTTGTCCTGGGTTCATTTATCTGTTTATTCATCGTGTTCTCTGTTTCACTTTGGTGTTTATACAGTGCTTCTATGGTTTCCTTTATTTCTTCTTTTGCTTTTTCAAATTCTCTATTTTTGTTGTCTTGGAATTTCTTGAGTGTCTCCTGTACATTTTGGTTGACCATATCCAGTATCATCTCTATAAAATTCTCATTGAGTACCTGTAGTACGTCTTCTTTTAAATTATTCTTGTGGGCTTCATTGAGTTCTTTGGCATAGTTTATCTTCATTTTGTTGGAGTCTGGATCTGAGTATCTATTTTCTTCATTTCCCCCTGGTTCCTGTACTAAATTTTTGCTGTGGGGAAACTGGTTTCCCTGTTTTTTCTGTCTTCCCGTCATTGTCCTTGGTGTTGTTATTGTCCCTGTACTGTGTGCAATTAAGTATTTTCTAGCTTGTAATAATAACAATGGTGATATTTAGAATGGAAGGGTGAGAGGAGATGGAAAGCAAGAAGTTAAAGAAAAAGAAAAAACAAATAAACAGACAAGTAGGAAAAAACAAAACAAGAAATCAAACAAAAAAGTTTCAAAGACATAAACAGGGAGCATTAGTGTACTAATCGACAGTAAGCTGAACAGGCATTAGAGAGACAGAGAGAGGATTGAAAATAACAAATAAAAAGAATAAAGATAAGAATAAAAATAAAAAATAAGTAAATGAAAGAAATATATATACATATAAATAAAATAAAACAAAATGTAAACTAGAAAATAAAAAAAACTCTCCAAGTTCAAATGCAGTGAAGTTTCAGTCTTAATAATTTTGGTGTCCGTCTCAGCCTCCAATTCTGGATATGGTGTCTCAGACGTTGTTCTGTAGTTGTCTCATCAAAGGGGATGCATAAAGTAGAACAAAACTGCACACACACACACACACACACAAAACCCACAAGGTGTCCCAAGTTCAAATGCAATACAGTTTCAGTAAGTTTTTCAGCATGCAGGTGTAGTTTGGTTGTTTTCTCATCAAAGGTAGGGAGAGAGGAAAAAAAAAAAGAGTCTGGAGACAGTTCTGTGAATGGTATCCGAGGCTGTGGCTTGTCTGCCCGCTGCTGTCAGCCTGCTGTTGCTGGAGGCTTTATTTATGCAGATCTCAGGAGTGAGTTTAACACTCACCTAGCCCCTAGGCTTTGTTTACTCAGAGTTCTCCTGTGCGCAAGCCTCTGCTACAAGCTTTCCCCTTTCCAAGCACACTGGGGGAGGTGACACTGCAGCCGCTTTCTCAGGCCAGCGTGTTTGTTTACAGTTCACATGGGAAGTGGGTCTTCCCCTCTCTCCTGTGGAGTTTTTCTCCCACCGCCACTTTTACAAGCTTTCCTGCTCCTGGTTGCTGGGCGCACGCCCCCGCTCTCGCTGGAGCCTCTCCGGCCAGGCCTGGCTTGTTTATTTACAGTTCCGGGAAGGATTCCCTTCCCCACCTCCTCGGTACTCAGTGCGCCCCACCCTCTTTCCATGTGCCTTTATTGTTCTTATTGCTTATTACTCAGTTTCTCTTTTTTCCCCGGGTGGAGGTCGGTCTGTCCAGGGGGCTATGCTGATCTGGCCCAGGGTTGTCTGTGGAAGTACCACGGTATTGCTAAGCTCACCTTGTCCACATCTTCCTAAGCCGTCTGGGTGCGGGCGACTGGCAGCCCGGGGTCCCTCCTGGTTTCTCCGTTTAACGTGAAGTGGAGATTCTCTGTGCCGGCTGGAGGTGTGGAGGCGTCAAATTTTTGCCTCTTCTCGGTGGTTTTGCCTGCAGGGTGTGTCTCCAGCATCTCTCCAAGATTTCACTATAGGAGGCACGCTTTCTGCTTCCTCCCTCTAGCCGCCATCTTGGAATCCTCTCAAGATTTCTAAAAAATATTTTTTAAATTAAGAAAAAGGAACATCACAAATGAGTAAAATATATGTAGATAACACTCTATTATTTAAAACTATACACAATTCTATGATAAAAGTTAAAATTTATCTACACTTACCCACATAAACAATATGTGGTTTCAATGACAGGTGAGAAAAATGTAAACAAATGTAAAAATGTAAAGATGCAGTATTGTTATGGCACAAAATAAACTCTACTGCATACTGTGCCATCCCTGTTGCTATGATGACAAGTTCCTGTGTCAGGAGTATCCACTTCAAATCATTTCAACCAGCAGCTACTCTTACATGGTGTACCCCAGTAAAAGGTGATCTCACAGTTGTCATGAAGCTTTCACCATATGTGATACATATGACACAAAATATATCTTAATCACCTGTTCAAATTAGTTTCTGGTCAAAGTAGTTAAGTTTGGGAGGAGTCCAAAGTTGTCCTAGGAATTTCAACTACAGGGGGATGAGGGTAGGTGTCCTGAACCCCTGCATTGCCGAAGAGTCAACTGTATAGTAAAATAGTTACTGTAGTGGAATGAACTAACCTATCAGTCATCTCACAGTTATCTATTTCCCCACCTGTGGCAAGAGAGGCTGTGATCTACACACAAAATACAGGAGTAACTCACCCTCATGTTGTACAAGTCCATCCTCCACATCTGCTATTCTGTGTCCTTTGACCTCCATCTCCACATTTCCTCTCTTGCCCATGCTAACCACTGTTTCATTCTCTGAGTGCTTGAGCAATTTGGGCTGTTTCTCTGTTTCTTCTTATGTCTTGGTGTTTTTGTTGGAATTTGAACATTTGAAGAAACATTCACCTCTCCCAGTCTTGCAGATTGTATTTATACAGCAGGCCATCTTCAATCAGCCAGGGTAGAGATTCTGGGGGCCTTGCTTATGTTTTCTGGAGATGGAGATGAGTCTGTTCTTAGCTTGTGTAATATAAATTCACAAAGAGATTACTTGGATTTTTAGGCAGTCTTAATTTCTTCCACCCTCTGGTGTCTTTTTGTGGAACTGCAATTTTGGGTGCTACAGCAAAGATCTCTGTTCTCAGCTGCCCTCAAGGAAAATAATGCCAGTTCCAGGTCAGTGCTCAAGACAGAAAGCAGTGCCTAGGCAGCACCCCAACATATTGGATGTATGTTTCATTCTTCTCTTGAGGGAAAAGCCTCAAGTTGGGCGTTTTTCTCAATTGTTCTGAGCTGCACTGTCCTGGGGCATGGAATGGGTTTTTTTGACCTGTTTCCTCTTGCTATGATAAAATACCTATGGACCTAAGCTTTTACTGCCCAAGCATAGTTTGGTTTGCCATAGTAAGTTCTAATTAGTAAATTTAGAGCAGGCAGACACAAGTTCTGTGGAGTCATGTTCTCACTGAGAGGTGGTCACTGTGGCATATTTGGCCAGTCCGCGTGGGGTGCTATGATTTGAATGTGGTTTGCTCCCCAAGGGTTCATGTGCTAGAGGTATGGTCCTCAGTGTGTCAGTGTTGACGTGGTAGAACCTTTAAGAGATGGGGTCTAGCTAGGCATGGTGTCTCACATCTACAATCCCAGCTGCTCAAGAGGCAGAGAGAGGAGGATCTTGAGTTTGAGGCCACTCGGACAGTTATCATGAATCCTATTTAAAAAGAACAAACTAAAAGCAAAAAGGACTGAGGGTCTGGCTCAATTGATAGAGCACTTGCCTAGCAAACACAAGACCCTTAGTTCAATCCTCAGTATCACATAAAAACAGAGGTGGGGTCTAGTGTGAGGTAATTAGGTCAATGAGGCACTGCCCTCAGAAGAGATGAATGCTGATTTTGAGGAGTGACTTTGTCTTCTCAAGATTGGATTGTTATAAAGTAAGGTCACCCCGTGCTCCCCTCTTCTACACAAGCCAGTTTTTCATCCTAGTTCTCCACCATGTTGTGATTCAGCCCTCAACAGTGACAGATCAGATGGGACCATTCAATCTTCCATTTTTAGTCCCCAAAACTGTGAGTTAAATAAATCTCTTCTCATTATAAAATACTCAGCTCCAGAAATTGTATAATAGCAATTGAAAACAAACCAATACATCGGATGTGATTGTCAAAACGGTGAGTCAAGTAGATTGAAACTAGCTGTCCCATAGGAGCTGGCTACCAGGAGGCAGTTATATAAGGCAGGTAGCTGAATAGACCACCTTGTGGAACTGCAAGGAGGTAGACAACTGGAAACTTTGTCTAAGCTCTGCCTGTGGTATGTAAAAGTCCAGGTTCTTTACAAAATGGCTGCTAAGGCAACATAAAGTTATAAAGATCTCATTGTACCCCGAATATGCACAAAGAAGGGGTTCAGGTGAGTACACAGTGAGATGGCACCTTCCTACAAGTCAGGAGGCCTCAGAATGGAACCTACCTGCCAGCACCTAGACCTTGGACTTCCCCTCATTCAGAACTGTGAGAAAGAAATCTCTCATTTGCAAGCCACTCAGTCTGTGGTGTTTTGTTAAGGCAGCGCAAGCAGACCAATGAGCTTAACCCACAACCAGCAATTCTGCTCTTAGGTATCTGTCCAAGAATAATGAAATCTGTGCCCACTAAAGACTTGTACACTAATGTTCACAGCTGGTTTACTCAGAACTTTGAAGTAAACTTAGTGTTCATTAGCAGGTGGATGGATAAGCAAATTTTTGAATATTTATGCAATGAAATGCTACAAGGTAATTGAAAAGACAGAACTACTAATACATAAAACATCATGGGTGAATCTCATAAATAATATGTTAGTGAAACAAGCCAGACACAAAAAAGTATATACTATATAATTTAATTTCTATGAGGTTTTACAACTGACAAAAGCAACTTATGGTGAAAGAAATCAGAATACTGTTTGCTGCTAAATGGGTGGTTTTCAGTGGTGGGTTACTCAGCTTACAATTACTGTGAAAAATACTGAGATAATCAACTTATAAGGAGGCAAGGTTTATTTTCACTTCTGGTTTCAGTTCATGGTTGGATGGCCCTGTTGCTTTGAATCTATAGCAGCACAGTACATCATGGTGAAAGCACATGGCAGAGGAAACGGATGAACTCATAACAGCTAAGAGGCAAAATAAAGAGATATTAAAGGGCCAGGGTCCCCTTGTCCCCTTCAAAGGCTCACCTACAGTGACTTACCTTCCTCCCATTATATCTCACCTTCCAAATATTCCACCATGAGACTCAAAGTGTGGCTCAAGCCATAGAGCACCTGTCTAGTGAGCACAAAGCTCTGACTTTAAACCCCAGTACTGCAACAATAACAACAGCAAAGAATAAAAGAAAAAAAGAGAAAAAAAAGTTCCACCACCTTCTAATAGTGCCAAAAGCTGTAAGCTCTTGATACATGGACCTTTGGGGGCCATTCAAGATCTAACTGGAAGTAGCTTGAGGGAACTTTCTGGGATGATGAGAAGGTTCCGTGTCTTATTTGAAGTCAAACGCATTTCTCAACATTTAAAAAAATGTACACTTAGCCTCATTTACTAAATATCAAATAGTATTAGAGGGAAATAAAACAAGTATCATTAATGTGTTGCTGTCACACATTAATTATAAGAATCTTATCAGTCAATGCATGTTCCTGTGGCTGAATATTCAAGAGATCTGAAGACAGAGCTCATCAATAAGTAAGCCCATTATGGCTGGCTGACATCCATTCTGAAATATTTTTTACCCCCCCTTTCCTGAAAAGTATAAAAAAAAGTATGCTTATGTGTGTTTTTGTGTGCACATAAACATTCAATATTTTAGACATTCAACGTTTTACCAATCTTCTTTGATTTGTTATCTATACCTTCCCTCAAAAGCAGTACATTATTTGATGGTGTAGAATGGATAAGGATTGTTAAAATAAATGACTGTCATCCCCAAATTGCTGAAATATGTGGTTTCAGAGCTTCCCACAGACCATTTATAACACAATTCTTAAACTGTAAACACAAGTATGTCCAGTATTTTTTAAATTTCAAACACAAAGAAAAGTTGATAGAAGTTTATAGAAACCATATACCACCTCTCAGATTCTATCACTGACATGTTTTATCACTACTAGCAGAGTCCTGAGCAGCTAAAGCCTGGAACAACATAAAATGTCCACAGTAGATAAAACTATCTGCAATAAGAAGGATGACTCTAACAAAAAGGAGAATAAGACACAAAAATATAGATGTATGATTTATTATATAAAGTTGGTCACAAGTGAAACTCTTGTGTAAGAATATGCAAATGGGTGGTAAAACCATAAAGAAAAGTCTATCTCAAAAGTCGTGACAGGTGCTGTGCTTAGAGGGAAGTACTGGGTGGAGGTGTGGCTCAAGTGGTACAGCAGCTGCCTGGCAAGTGTGAAGCTCTGAGTTCAAACCCCAGTACTGCCAAAAAACAATTTTAAAAAATCAGAAGGGAGTACTGAGTGTTAACGAGGGTCTACTTCTCAACTTGGGAGGATGGTTACAGGGTCTTCTCTTTGTAATCATGTGTTGTATTGGACACTATATTTTCAATAGTGTGAGAAATGAGCATTTATGAATCAATGCTGGATTTATTTCTTTACTATATTTCTTCATTCCACAAACTGTGCAAGGTTTCTTAAAATAATGAATGCATAATTTTCAGAGTAACAAAAGACTATTCCTTTAAAAAAATTTGTATACATAGTATTGCAAAATGAAAATTCAAATTTGAACACTTCAATAGGAAATGGCCAGTGTACAAACTATAGTTTTGTGTTAGTCAGATTTTTCATCACTGCAATAAAATACTTGGCATAAACAACTTCAGGGAAGGATTTGTTTTGGCTCATGGTGTCAGAGGTTTCAGTCCATAGCTCTTGGCTCCATTGATTCTGGGTCTGTGATGAGGCAGAGCATGTGGCAGAGACAGAGAGGTACCCAGGACAAGGTGCAGCCCCAGTGACACACCCCCTGTGACCTAATTTCTCCACCAAAGCCTACTCCTAAAGTTTCCACCACCTCCCAAAATAGCTCCACCAGCTAGGAGCCAAGCCTTCAATGCATGAGCCTTTTGGAGAAGGACAGATCGTATTCAAACCATAACGAGTTTGTAATGTTATATCTTTCAAAGACCCCCTGGAGTAAAGACCTGGTCCCCAGCTTCAGGCAGTATTGGGAGGGATGTAGCCTGGTGGGAGGTAGTCCTGTCATTGGGGGTGTGTGGCTGGGAGAGGATTGCAGGACCCTGGTCTCTTTGGTCTCTTTCTCTTTCCCTCTTTTTCTTGTATCCTAGCAATGATTTGAGCAGTTTTTTTCCATCACAAGCTCCTGACCATGTTGTGCTGCCTTGCTACAGGTCCAAAAGCAATGGGGCCTAAAAAAAATGGGGTCCAAAACTGGGACCTAAAAATAAACCTTTCCTCCTATAAGTTAATTACCTGATGTAATTATTTCAGTAATGGAAAGCTGACATGGTACCTCTATATCTAAAGTATCTAAATAATGAACAAATTTGTAACACATTTAATTTTCCAAGTAACTAAAATTATATACAAAAACAAGATAACATTTTTATTACATCTAATTTCACAAGTTCTTAAAATTACATATTCAAACAAGATAACTATTTGCTCTATTAAATACAAGCCTTAAAAGAAAATCCAGAGTGGGTGGGAGCAGTCAGCAACTGCTCATGGAAATATAAATTGTAAAACCTTCTAGGAAGAAAATCAGGAAGTGTACAGAAATGTGTGAGAGTTCTACCCATCCTTGATCCAGCAATTAAAGTTCAAGGAGTTTAAGAAAATAATCTTCAAAGATATAGGTGCACGGATATTAACAGTGCAGAAAAGAACCTTAAAATAAATAACTAGCAATAGGGGTTTAATTAGATATATTGAACTAAATTAAATAAGTTTTAGTTAAATACTTTTAAAACATTAAATGCAGTGAATACACGGAAGCTATTAGAAACACTACTGAGAGAATATTAATTCCAATGTCCAAGGCATATTTTTCAGTGGGGGAAAAATAGGACAGGTGACAAGTGCTATGTGCAATATTCTATTACCTTAAAATGAGAGTGACAATGACTGACTGAGATTAATATAGAACACAAAGGGCTGTTATAAGGAGTTAATCAAATGACATCATTAATTTTCTGTTTAATGGCACCATTTTCTTTTAGCTCTTTAGTATTTGCCAAACCTTGTTTTTCTTGAAACAAAGTATTTACTTAAAAACAAATTGTCTGTTGGTTCCTAGTACCTGGAATGCGTCTCCCCAGGCCCCGACTTCCCGAGCTGCCTGGGAACCTTTGCTCCTTCTCACCGGACAGGCCACCCAGCTCACATTCCCAAATTGTCCCCAGAAACCCCAATCCTGCGCTTCCTTTGCTTTTCCCGGTAACAGGGATCCTCTAAAGTGCTGTGCGATTATCTCTGTGACTTCTTGTCTGCTCCCTGCCTTATAAAACCTACTCCACCTAGAGCAATGGTATTCGTTTTGTCTGTTAAGGTATTTCAGAAGGGACTCTGATGCCTGCACTAAGCAGGTATTCAACATCCCTTTGCAGAGAACTGCAGGAAACAGGTGTCTGCTCTGGAGCACCATATGCTGACCTCACCGTCAGTCACACGAGTGCACAGCGATGACACTGACCTCGACTAACCTACCTTCACTGACTGGAACCCAGGGCTCCACAGCTGAGGGAGCAGCGGGTGAGAACTCAGGAGCGCTTCAGGAGCCTTGTGGCTGCATGAAAACGTTATTGACAGACAAACGCGAGAAACTACACTTCCCAGAAGGCGTTGGTCCTCACCTGGACTACATTTCCCAGGAGAGTTAGCGTCATCGCTACTCTTTCATTCCCCCCCCGCCGCCCGCTCGGATACAAGCTGAGGTCTTGCTGGCGGAGCACTGAAACCAGGCGGGGCTGGGATTGCCGCGGGCAGACCCAGACCTTGGGAGGAGGCGGAGAAGCGTTCTGAGAAGCTCCGGGAGCGTATGTGGGCGCGGCCATATCCAACGCCCTCCTCTGCTCTAAAGTCCGAGACCCCGCCTGGACGTGTGCGGTCGGCGCTCGGTCCCGGTTCGCCCCAGCGCAGCCTCCCGCCTCCTGAGCTCCGTCCCGGCGCGTTCCCGGCCCGCGCTGCCGGCTTGGAGCGGCCGCGGCCGCGGTCACGCGTGGGAAACGCGGTCCTCCCCGGGGAGCCAGGCGCCCGCCCCCCACGCCAGAGCCAGGACCAGAACCAGAACCAGAACCAGGTCTTCCTTTTCTGGGCCGGTCCCCGCCGGGCATGGGGAAACCAGCATTTGCCTGTTCTGGAAAGATTTTCTCCAAAAACCTGGAAATTGATTCCTTGACAGGCGGCCGAGAAATTGGGTGGGCGAAGCTTGAAGCTGAGGAAGATTGTGGCAAGGAAGACAGTGAGACTAGAGCCGCTGCTCAGGGTGCGGGCTTGGAGTCCTGTGACTTCTCATTGACTGTGCCAGTGGGGACAGGTGGCCCCACTCTGCCCTGTTTCCTGATCTACAAAGTAGGGGCGCTAAGCAGTGTAAGGCAGTGCCTGGCATGGGGTGGGGCTCAGTGGTGGAGTCCAGGGTCTCCTTCTAATTTTGCTCCTGGAGATTCTCTGAAAAAAGAAGAGAGGGGCCTGGGCCTCCATGGGCCCAGCCCTTCCCTGGTCCTGTCCACTCCCAGCTCCTTCTGACTTCCCTCTCTGAAGGTCCTTGGGATTGGACAGCTGCTGAGTCTGAGTGGCTGAAAGCAGAACGGGATTCTTTTTGGTCCCTTTTTCTCTCAGATCCAGCCTCTGAGGTACAGTGCAGCCATTCTTGGGAGAAGAGCTCAGACAGAGGACATTGCTCCTGAGCAAAAGGAAGCACAGTCTCAGGTGAGCTCATTGCCCTCTCAGTTCTTAGTGATGGAGAGAAGTTTTTCCTGCCTTAATTGAAGTTCTCACCCAATACAACCTTCACCAGGATTTGGTGCCCATGTGTTTATGTAGAAAGAGTTGGTCCACCCTCCTGGGTGTGAATTCTGTAGGGAATACTCCCCACACCCCGTATGTCTAGTTCACTTTTGTTCACTAATCTCAATCTGTGGTGTCATAACTAATTTGACATGTAAGATGCCAGGTGTCTTTTCATCACTGGACAAACATGCACACCTGGGAAAATTCTGCTCTGGCCCTGCCACCTTCACTCCCACATCTCTCCCTGTCTCTGGCAAGAATGCTTTTCTTTTTCTCCTCCCTCCTGAGCATCCTCTTGATGCCTCCCCCAGGTTTTGCAGCCCTGAGTGTTTAGTTTTTTCTCCACTGCACTTTTGGATCATGTGCTTTGCCTCTACCACTCTTGTGAGAAATGACTTTGACCTGCCATTTCCATCTTTATGTTTGGGACTGGGGAGGACCTCCATCCAGATGAGACGATGAGTGGGCCTAGGATGGCAAGGGACCCAATAGGAGAGGTTTCTTACTCCAAGAACAAAGAGAAGACTCCTCAGGAAGCCACAGGAGTTTTTTTGCACTGTCAGTGGGAGAGAAGCAGTGCACACAGTGGTTAGGAAGTAGGGCTCTCCAGCCAGACGGTTTTAACCCCTTTCCTCTGTTGCTGTGTGTGGGCTTTGGGCAAATAACTCTACTTCTTTGTGCATCAGTTTCCTCACCTTTAAAATCAGTGCCTATCTCCTAGGGTAGATGAGAGAATTACAAGAGTTAGTGCATGGAAAATGTGTAGCTCAGGGCCAGGCTCATAGTAACCATTCAGTGTATGAAGGATACTATATTAATAATATTAATTTTGTCAACACTGCTAAGGGCTGGAGGTGTGGCTCAGTGGTGAAGTGCTTGCCTAGCATGTGCAAGGCCCTGAGTTTGATCCCCAGCTTGGCAAAAAAGCAAAGCAAAAACCAACCACCACCACCAACAAAAAACAAACCACAGAGAAACCGCTGTACAGTGTTTTTGGGACCCAGAAAATACTTGTCTTTTGTCTACTCTTCTTCATCTAACACTGACACTGAATGTTTAGTGGAACCCTCTTACACTGTTGGTGGGAATGTAAACTAGTACAACCATTCTGAAAAAAAAATTGGAGGCTTCTTAAACATCTAAACATTGATCTACCATATGATCCAGCAATACCACTCTTGGGGATATACCCAAAAAACTGTGACACAGGTTACTCCAGAGGCATCTGCACACCCATGTTTATTGTAGCACTATTCACAATAGCCAAGTTATGAAAACAGCCAAGATACCCCACCACTGACGAATGGATTAAGAAAATGTGGTATTTATACAGAATGGAATTTCATGCAGCCATGAAGAAGAATGGAATGTTATTATTCGCAGGTAAATGGATGGAACTGGAGAACATCATTCAAGTGAGGTTAGCCTGGCCCAAAAGACCAAAAATCATATGTTCTCCCTCTTATGGGGACATTAATCAAGTGCAAACACAACAAGGGGATTGGACTTTGATCACATGATAAAGTGAGAGCACACAAGGAAGGTATGAGGATAGGTAAGACACCTGAAAAACTAGATAGCATTTGTTGCCCTCAATGCAGAGAAACTAAAGCAGATAAGGTGACCAGGAACTAGAGAAAAGGTTAGTTCGAGAAGAATTAATTTAGAAGGTAACACACATGTACAAGATATCAATGCGAGTCAACTCCCTGTGTAGCTATCCTTATCTCAACTAGCAAAACCCTTGGTCCTTCCTATTATTGCTTATACTCTCTCTTCAACAAAATTAGAGATAAGGGCAGAATAGTTTCTGCCTGGTAGTGAGGGGTAAGGAGGGTAAGGGAGGGAGTTGGGGGTAAGGGAAGGGGCAGGAGGAAGGGGGGAAAAATGACCCAAACATTGTATGCACATATGAATAAAATAAAAATTAAAATAAAATGAAAGTTTTTATGTGAATATAATGCATATTGCACACTATATTTTAAAGTAAAATTGATTTTTGAGCTGGCGGTGGTGGCACATGCCTGCTTGTAATTCCAGCCAAGTTAGAGAGACCCTATCTCAAAAATGAAATGAAAACAAAAAGGTAGGAGCAGAGCTCATGAGGTAGAGCCCTTCAAGTACTGGGTTAAGTCCCCAGTACCATACACACAAACACATACACACACACACACACACACGAAAACCAATGAATTTCTGTCTATAGACATCTTTTTTTTTTTATTGGCAGTACTGGGGTTTGAACTCAGAACTTCACACTTGCTAGGCAGGCACTCTACTGCTTGAGCTATTCCACAAGTCCTTTTCTGTTTTGGATATTTTTTAGATAGGGTTTCTTGAACCATTTGCCCAGGGCTGGCTTTGAACCTTAATCTTCCTGCTCTCAGCCTCCTGTGTATCTAGGATTACAGGTGGGAGCTATCAGGGCTCTGCTAGACATCATGTTTATTTGACAAAAAACAAAGCTGAGCACTAGAAGAGTTTTCAACTTTGGACTTTTTTCAAATAATTGAATATTTGCATATATATCATGAGATATCTTGGATGATATCAGGTTTTAATGTAAAGTCCACTTATGTTTCATGTATACCTTACAGACATAGCCAAAAGGTCATTTTATACAATATTTTTAGTGTGCCTTCATTTTGACAGCTACCTTACCCTCCTGTGTAAGGTGTAGGCTTTTCCACTTGTGGCATCATATTGGTGGTCCAAAGGTTTCAGGGTTTGGAGCATTTCAGATTTTGGATATTGGGACTTTTGAGTCTGGCTTCCTTTACTTAGCATAGTTGTATTTGAGATGCATCCCCATGCTGCACCATTAGTGGTTTGCTCCTTTTTATTCCTGAGTACTTTCCTGCTTGCCCAGTTTATTCACATCCCATGTTAAATGCATAAGTCTTAAGTTCATTTCCCACCAGAGAAAGAGAGAGAGAGAGAAAGAGAGAGAGAGAGAGAGAGAGAGAGAGATGGATAGATATTTGATGATTCCAAAGGTTCGTTTTATTTCTTTGATGTATTGATAGTTGTTGTTGTAGGTAATTACCAAAGAAAAGGCATTGTAAATATTAATGAATTGCTTTTAATTTTTTTCTTCTGTTTTTAAAAAGGGTAATATTAGAGCTAGGGGCATTGTTCAACTGGTAGAGTTCCTGCATAGTGAGTGTGAGGCCCTGAGTTCAAATTCCAGTACTGCAAATAAAATAAATCAATAAAATAAAAATTTTCTGAACTTTAAATCAGGCTGTAAAGCACACTAGCATTTTGGCAGGTGTGGCAGATATCTGTAATTCCAACATTCAGGTGGCTGGACCAGCCTGCCTACTACATAGTGAGTCCCTGTCTCATAAAAGAAAAAAAGGAAAGAAGGAGGGGCAAGGGAGAGTGAGAGGAAGGGAGGGACCAAGACAGAGAAGAAAGAAAATGCTAGCATATTATCATCATTTAAATATAATGCTTGTTACCTATTTAGTAATAGCTTGAATAAAAAGTTTTATAGTAAAAAGTAGTAATAATAAAAAAACTTTATTGTTGTCAACAACACTAGAGTGTTGATCGCATCTCTGCTTCCTGTATGACACTACTTGGTTCTATAGTGAAAAGACCTGACTTTAGCATAATCTTTTTTGAATGTAGCTGTCCTTACAGCTACATTTGTTTTCCCCAAAGGTGAAAGAAGAATACTGTCCATACTTTGTGTTTGCCAGTGGTTTCGACTCTGAATGAAGTCTCTGGGAGCTGATGTTCAAGCAATTTTAGGGTTATTGGCCAGTATGGATAAGAGTGGATATC